AAATTGGGAAACAACACTAGAAGACTATAATAAAGATGTAAATAAAAACCTCCAATAATTTTTATTCCTGAATCAAGGTAACGTAAGTGAGGTTGTGTTTACTATGGTCAATAACTATTTGCTCTTAAAAAAAACAAAAACAAAAACAAAAAACTACATAACAGGTTTTCTGGATGTCAGCTTTATCTCAAATGTCATGTACTGAACCAAAATATTTATCCTTAAATGTCCTCAGATTCATTGAGTCTGCATTTATCAGACCAGAGATGCTGTCACTTAATACATGCAAAAATTCTTCTATTAAGTTTTGACAATTCTAGTTTACGCTTTAAATAGAGGACTAAGCCTAAAAAAAATTCCACTAAAAAGTCGAGACGAAAATGCTGGCAAAGCAAAACCAAACAGGAGAGGAGATAAGAGACTGTGTCGGGGAAAAACGCCAGCCAGGCCTCTCCTGGCTTAGGGCTGCCCACCTCTCTGGCCAGAGTTGGATGCCAGCCTGACAGTCACCAGCAGGGACAGCACCCTAGTTGGGTCTCCAGGTTAAAATATAACTTAGAAGAGCCAGCAGAGGTTTAATGCCACGAGATAAGGACTGGCCAGGGTTTTGGAGAGACAAAAATGGCAAAAATCTATATTATTCCTGATAAAAGATTTAAAAAAAAAAAAAACTAAAGAGTTAGGGCCACAACTGTAAGCTCAAAAACTTAAGGTATTTTCTTTTTGATAGAGCACGCAGGCCCAGCTGAAGTTTGTCACTGTGCCTAGCAAGCATCTCCCTCTGCCCCACGGGTTGCTTCCCCTTTGTTATTTTTACACACACACACACACACACACACACACACACACACACACACACACACACACAGGAATTTTGCTGCCCAACGTTGCCAGAACGTTACATGAATGATTTCTAGCAGCCTAGATATCTACAAATATTCATGTGATTTCATCACCCGAGGAGCCAATGAAACCTTTAAAAGATCCCCATAGAAGCAGGGTCCTAAACCAAGGATCTGGATGAAGATGGATGAAAGGGCTCCAGAGCAAACAGCAGGAAGAAGATGGATAAAGGACAAAAAATAAAAGAAACTGAGAGGGGAATGAAGATCTAAAGACCGTTGGTCCCGTGGGGAACAGCAGAGCAAGGACGGCATTTTAAAATCTGTCTCGCTTTGAAACAAAGACATTGTTCTAATTGATAGAGGCCATTTGGATTATACTTCCTGCCATAGTTCATCCTTCTCAGATCTCTGATGGTGTTGACGGCTAACTGTAACTTTATTGGTTTAACAGCAGCTGCCTGGCCAGTACAGTTCATATAAGAGAATCAGGCCTTGCCTTCCTACAGCCATTAGGTCTCCTGAGGAGAAAGGTAAACTCACAGATGTGGTTGCCTTGCTGACAGACTTCATGCTGAAGGATAAACAGGTTTCAGGAACAACTTCTTACTATTCCTTTATTTAAAGGAACTTGCTTTGCAATGATTGCTCTCAGTAATCAATCGACTAAGTCTCGTGGTAAATGATTGGATAAAAAATGCTTTTAAATTTATGTAAGTTCTGGAAGTCTAAGAAAATATTCTAAAATAAATGTTCTCAAAGTCTGGGGATATGAAAACTTAAACTATAAAGGTCTAGGGAAATGATTTAAGATATATAAACACAAGTTACTCTATACTATTACATAAGATTTTAAAGGTTCAGAGTTAACATTGATCTTTGGAGTTCTGATAAGCTGGTAAAGCACTGAGTACTATTATCAGTCACAAGCTCAAGATTTTAAATTTCCTCTGGTTGTCTTTTGAATACAGACTTGAAAATCCTTCTCATCATGCTAAAAACATCTCTGTCCAATCTATATCCATTCCTCTGGACACATACACACACACAAAAAGAATGTTTGTGCTTTTAAACCCAAAGCCAGAGCTTTTGCTATGACTCAAAACCATGAGTCTACTCCAGCTCTCTACAGGTACCTGTTAGCTGTTCTTTGTTTGTTTGTTTGTTTGTTTGTTTTTCTGCAATGTAGATCTCAGTACAGATTGCAAGCAATGGTAATGCTAATGTAGTTACAACTTTTATCTTTTTTGTTACACTTAAAGATTCATATAAATTTCAAGGAGTCAAAACTTGAATCCACCTGTCACAGGGCAAATGGACCCCAGGTAAGTATTCTGTCATGTCGATCCACAATCCAAGCTTCCCTGCCTACTGCCTCCTCCTAAAGAGAAATCTCAAAAGGTAAGATATTCCTTTAAGATCCTCCCCTTTAATCCCTGCCCCCAATCTACATCTGTCTCTGCAGATGACCAGTCAGCTGACAAACACCATCCAGAAATCAGCTGTTGGATGATAAACTGTTCCAAAGGTGATAAACACCATGCCAGTCCCAGGAAGTCCCTACAAAAACGGAAAGCCCCGGACTTGCTGAAAGCTGATGTGAACCAACCCAGCTGATGTGATAGCTCCCTGTCTCTTCAGCTGGGTCAGCTAACCAGATGCTTTTGATTAATGCCCCATTATCCTGATCCCTCGTGGCACCTGACTAATATTTCAGCCTTCCTGGGCCCCGACAATAAAGTCTTAATTTCAACAGGAAGAAGTTAAGAGAATACACCAACCCTTGTCTTCAACAAAAGCTGAAATGTTAGATTCAAAGGAAATTTCCTGGCAAGGGAGACAAAATGTGTGTGTGTGTGTGTGTGTGTGTGTGTGTGTGTGTGTGTGTGTGTGTGTGTGTGTGTATCTCCTACTGTCATATCAGGAAAGGTATCTGTTAAAACCAAATAGACAAAGAACTACCAACAGGTAGGTTCATTAGCTAAAATAGTTCTGCAATATGATAAGACACCTGACCTGCTCTATGTGGAATGAAGAAGATAGCTTTTAGGAAAAAATTATTCTTTATATGTTAACCAATCAGATGTAATTAGAGAGATTAGCCATGATACAAATTTTGTCTCTTGCCAAATAGAGAAAGCTAAGATACTTGCCCTCTAATGGGATTATTAGTCCACAGAACAAATAAAAATGACCGTTCCCTGTCAAGGATTTGAAAGGAACATATAAGATAAGGAGGGAATGATGGACCAACCGGACTCTGTCTTAGGATTAAAGATCTTGTTACAAGATCAAAATAAGTTCATTCCTGTTTTCTGTAAAACTTGGATTTGGCCAGGTATGGAATTTTCTGGAATTTGCCATCTTCCACACCCTGATAAGGTATTTTACCAAGTAATTTTGAGATATTCAGCCAAGTTCCTACATAATCAAAATTCCTCTGGAAATCCCCAAACCCTTGAAGACACCCTAGTCTTGCAGGTTTTGGGGTTACATGAGCTCCACTTTTTCCCATGTTCAGTGCTATTTTCTCAACCCTCACTTTCTGTCTGACGGAAAACAAAGCTGCTTAATTTGACCAAAGAGTTTGTGTGATGGTCTTTACCCTTGTTCAGCTGTGTGAGTTGTGCTTGGAGGTGGAGGGAGCTCTGAGGACAGGGTCTGCCTCTGTCACCACCCGGCCAGAGGGCAGAGGCAAAGCCATTGGGATAACAGAGGCTTGGGAAGTGGGGAACAGGGTAC